GACTGTAGATGAACCGAGCGATTTCTGAACATTGTGAATGTCCTTCGCTTCAAGAAGACCCGGTCAGTTCATCATTTATTGATTCATTACGTTGTGCGTAAAATAAACAAAATAACTTAGCCAATTGTTATATCAATATATGTTGTTTTTCAGTTGTACCACCAGTTCATCTTCTTTTAAGGTAAAAAGAAACGAAAGGAGCAAAAATATGAACGGTGGTTTAGTTAGATATGAAAAATTTAATCTTTAGAGTCTTTAAAATGTGTTTTGTTGGCTAATATCTCACAGCAAACGCTGATGGTGATTTCATGTGCAGTGAGATCAATAGTGGTACTGCCAAAATCTAAGTCCTTAACTTCTCGGGTGCCACTTCTATGTACCAACAACGTGCTTCAATGGATTTCTTGGCTATTCTGTAAAATTGCTGTATCTATGCAAAGAAGGCGTTGATCATCTTCGCTTTTCAATTTAAGAGAGTTGAAAGAACAAATTTAAGTTTCGAGTAATTTATAAATTAAATAATAGTTTAGAAAAGCAATCCATAATCATATCTCAGAGGATGATAGATAAAACAGTACTATTGTAAGTGTGCAAATGCGGAAATTTCGCTTATGCAACGCTTCTAAACAAACTCTTTCGCCTTTAGACGCTTTACTTACTCGCAGTTGTTTTTGTTACGGTAAACGCAATCGATGATGCCATTCTAGCCGTATAACATTAATCACTCAAATAGTGTCGAAAAGACTGTTTTTTCTTTTCAGCGCCTAGCTCCCTACAGTCCGTCCTCTCAGTCATGTTGCTCATAAAATTTGAAGCAGTTTGGACGGCATTTCCTGTAGAAATAAGGCTGATCGCCTTTACGACAGCGTTCAGCAGTACCTGTTTCACGACAATGCCTTCGATTACTATATCTGCCATGACCAGGGCGAAGATGAGTGATTTTACGTGCAACTTGTTTTACTAGCGTGGTGCATGACGAAATTCGAACAGATTCATAAAAAGTACAACTTTTTAGACAAGTTTTCACAAAAGCCGAAGTAAACAGCGAAAGAGTCGTTCGGATTCGAGCAGGACTTCAGACGGAATTAAATCCCCCATCAGTCCAACGTTATCCAAAGAAGAAACCATCCAAGTGGTGATAGCCAGTCATCCGTTGGAACGCCCTGAGAAAAGTCGTACGTTGAAGGAAGAAGCGCACATGAACGGAAATGGAGTCAAATCGCATGGCGGTCCAGTTTCGAGAGACCTGGAGTACGATCAGCTGGTAGATTCCGCGAAAGAAATGCTAAGCCGAAAAGCGCCTCGTCGGCTTCCTGCTGAGGTCGTGGATTCGCTCATTTCTACAACAAAGAAAGGTCGAGGAAAAGATGTTTTAAGTGACGAAGATTCACCTTATAAAAAATGGGAAGTCGAAGAGTACGACTGGGAGACAGATTACCAAACTGGTCCGGAAACGTTCCTTTTGCAACTGCGAGATCCAAATTTGGCCGGAAGGATAAGGGACTACAGGTTTGTAAGCGTTCATTGCAACTTTAGGTATCCAATAATCTATTTGATGCACCTGATTTGTGTACTACATTTATCGCGTTTATCATTGGTTGTATATAGACGGAATCGACACCAATTCCCTCCGTCGATTGATCATCTAAAATTAAATGCGATTTTCACGAGAATGCATTTTTTCCTTTACGAAGATGATTGTTTATTATGTAGACTCATTATGTGGTTTTTCGTCGTCTAAATGCGCCACGAACGCAATCAACGCTCCTCCAGACAAAGTAAATTTACCTCCAGATCATTCCAAGTTCACAGTAGCCGAATTTAGTATTGAACGTCCACCAGTTGTTTCTCAGGTGAGCCACATGATCCCTCCATTTGTTAGTGAATTCCATGGTTGAACTTGTGAGCCCGGAATGTTACCCCGATGGGAGCCTTTGCACATTTTTCGTCCTATGGCGCGAAATGTGACCGCCATTGCGTAGTGGCAGAACAACATTCAGTGCCGTAGATCATAGCAGGTAGGATGGTTCAATGGAACAATCTATCTCCATCCACATGTCCAGCCCACTGTCGAATAAAGCTGTTTTTGACACGACTAATGAAAACCCATGCCGCCTTCCTTCTTCTGCTCATTTCTTCGTCTAGCAGTCGACATGACAACTGAGGAATGCTTAGATGTTGACTTCTCTGAGTTTTTCACCATAAGGATAGTCAGAGCCCACGAGGCACTGTTTGCCTTGCGTTTCTTGCTCGAGAATTTTTACCGCTAACGCAATAGCGTGAGATTCTTGCAGTATCTGCTGGATCTTCTGTTCGAGTTTCATCTTGTCTTCACCTAAGACGATGCAGTCGTCCACATGTATCACGTGCGTCAGCTGCTTTCCTTCAATATTCAAGCCTTGCATTAGTTAAGCCGGTTGAAGAGTGACTCAAATCAAGGCTGCGGTGAAGTGCGCCTGTTAGTGATATCCCCTTGGCGCACAACTTCATGAATACCGATGCCAGATATTTCGCTGAACAGCTGTATGTCATTCGTGTAACCAGTGTAAAATTTTTCGATCAGACTGACGCAGGCCGGAAATATGCCATGTTCATGTAAAAGAGCTCAACAGAACCGCCAATTCAATCGAATCGAAAGCCGCCTTCTTACCAACGACAAAGGCAAAACAGACTGACAGTTGATATTTGTCACACCTCTATATCACCTGGACCATATTTACTTAGAGGATGAAAGAAAATCCGCTACAAATTTGTTCCTAATTTATGACTACTTCGAGGTCTTTCCAAATACGATTGAGATGTAGAGGTGAAATGCTTACTTTGGCGGCAGAACTGTCACTGATCGATCATTCTTAAAGTTTAAAGTGTCGTCTTTTTGCATAAGAAAAATTCTTCTTGATGTCTGCCAAACTTTACGTGTCCTGTTTTGTATTATATATCATAGAAACGTTTGGCAAGCTTCTTTGAATAAGATTGTTTTTTCTGCTCTAACACTGCCATGGCCTGAAAATTTGCCATATCTGAAGTTTCTCACTGCTCACTCAATTTCGCCCCATTTAACTTTGGGACCGGCTTTTGGGGTAACATGTGGCAGCCACTAATTCACGACTACTTTTGAAAAGTACAGGTTGTTGAAGATTTATTTTTGCAGATGAAGGATCAAGGATGAGATCTTATTACAATTAATAGTTATTGCTCTTCCTTCCTCTTCAGGTGCACTGGGAATGGTTGGCCTTAGGCGAATATCACGCTTCACGTCTTTCAGGGTTTCCTTTTCTTCATGGCTTTTCTCAGTCATATTTTTTTAAATAATCTTTCTAGTCTTCGAACTTTTTCCTCGTCTATTTACAAGATGCAGCAAGCATACTATCAAATTTCCCCTTTGACTTCAGTCGAATTTTCTGGCCATCAGCTGCATTACGGCAAATGCGCTGGTTTTTCTTTCACTTTGCCGTCCATCTTCACGTTCTAACGGCGGTCTTGATGGCACTGACAAGATTGGTCATAATCTGCATCTGTACCTGTACCTCACTCACCCATTCGCATCTGTCATGTCAAGATTCATTAATGGCAGTTTCTCCACGTAGTTCTTCACAAGTGGTATTTTTGGGCTGTTTTAATCCACATTTCTTTTGTCACATCGATCGTTACTGTGAAGCGTCGAAGCCTGTGATTTAAAACTGTACGAGTGTTGTTCTTGCCTGTGACCGACTCTTCAAATATTATTCGATTCTTTTCCGTCCGTACATAAATGATTTGAGTGCATAAATTTTCGTCTGGTCTTCTCCTCGTATACAGTGGTTTTTACAACGCAGGTGATCGCTTTCACAAAAGTTGTGAAATAATCTCCAAGTTCGTCTCTTTTGCCTATTCTGCAGTTGCTGATGTCCATGTCGTTCGTTCTTTTCTCAGCTACGGGGTTTACGTATCTTTGTACAATCATAACCAGTGTTCTTTTTTATTGCGCGTTACGATTCCTTGTAGAATTGTACCATTTCTTAACTTCTTCTTGGGTTGGGCTTTAGGCTTGAATAATTTTCATTGTCATTCATTCGTCCATCTTTAGAATCGGAACTGCTGCATGACTGATATAATATCACAGCTCAATATTAATCATAGAACGTTCCTTCTTATTACGAACTCAGCTCCACCGATCAGAGCTCGATTCTCGAACTCCGTTCTGAGGTAAATTTGTCTCGCAGTTCCATTGCGCAACAAATGCGGTAGAGCTTTGGATTTCACATATTTCATTGAAATCCGCCTTGACCTTCTCCATGTCCGCGATAAACATCTTTACATGATTTTGTCGATGACGTTATGTGATGTAAGATCTTGATGACGCTCTGGACCCGTTCTCAGTTCACGTCCTGAGCTTTACCAAGTCCTAAATGTTGCTCAGGCTGACGCCTTAGAACGTATCTGTTTTCCCGGATTCCGTTCATCTTTGAGCGTTTTTTCGTCAAGTAATTAATTGGCCCTTCATTCCGGCTGCCAACCCTCATGAGGTATTGTTTACGTCTCTCAAAACTTCATCTAGCTCAAGGGATTCAGAGTAGCGGAGCAGATTTTGAGGCTTTAATCATGGATGGATAGCAGGCGAGTGGCGGACAGGGCATCGCCTCATCTTGCTGGGGCGGGCTTGCGCACTACTTCAACTCGCTCCCGTGACAGAAAAATTGTTTTG